CTCTGCTTTCTTGTCCTCTGGCCTCTAACCAGCTCTTTTCTTTTTTCTCTCTTAGAGCACCTGGAGAAGATGAGGGAGGGACTTATGCAGGAATAGAAGACTCTCAGGAGGTGTGCACCACGTCCTTTTCCACCTCCCCACCATCGCAGGTAATGCCGTCTCTATCACCTTTCCATCTGTCCCATTGAATATAACCCTTCACCACCTTCCTTGTACAAGCCAGGCTTCAGTACAGGTGCAGTGCAGCCTGTCATTAAGAGATTAACTGTTAACCTCTCACAATGGATAAGCTGTTTTCATTCATGAGTCTCTTTCAGCAGTTCCCTGATGAACAGGTCTCATTCTTTAAATGTGATTATAGTTTTCATATTCCTCCAGCCATGAATATGATTTGAGATTGCTGCTAAGTACAGTACATTTCCTCCCTATACTTTTCAGTTCAAAAATTTCATTTTTTTTTTCTTCTTTTTGCTGTGTTTGGTTAGTTTGCTGTCTTGATCAGTGTTGTGTTTGTTAGCTAAATTCACTAAATGACAAAGCTGAAATAAACAAAGGCAAAATAAAACATAAAATTAATATATATTTTAAAAAGTATATAAATAATACTAAAATAATACTGGTCTTGGTGTACTTGCTTCAGTACAAAAGTGTTCAAAAATCTTCAGACTAGTGTTAAAGTCATTTGTGTGACCATGGAATCAGTTTCTCTCTCTCCATTATCTCTTTCTGTGGTAGTGGTTTCATTTCTGTTGTTGCCTTGTTTTTCTTTCTTTCTTTCTTTCTTTCTTTCTGTGTGCATGTAGTGTGTGTGTACAGTAAGTCAGGCACATTTTAAGACACCTAAGCCGACTCTGATGGCCACACTGAAGGTTCCCCTCATGGGGCTTGGCATCTCACAGCAAGTGAGTCCAGTGTGTGTGAGAGAGAAGTGTGTGTACACGCATGCAGCTGATAGATTAATTAAAGTAAAAAGTGTGTGTGGCCTGCCCCAGTAACCTATACTCCACTGCTTACCCTTCATAACCTTGTATAACCTTTTAATGAAGAGGGTTATACAGTATCACTCACACAACAGATTGTTTGAGCACTGCTCAGGCCAAACGCACATAATCACTGCTGCCTTCTCCTTGAGCTGACCTGCCTGCTGTTTTACTTGAAGCATTTGTGTGTTTGCTCTGATAACTACTCTGATCCTTCTTGCTCTCTGCTCTGCAGTGAGGTTTATACAGGACCAGACTTAAAAAGGCCTCTTGATCTGACATTTGACTCTTATTGTGATATGAATCTCTCTCTGTCTCTCAGCTGTACAGCTCTCGTCTGTCATATCAGACTCCTGCCCTGGGAACTGTGGATTTGTGTCATCCTACGGCTTGTACTGCTGCTGCACATCCTCACCAGGTACAGCACACAACACACCAGTGCATACGCATTACGCACATGCAAAAGCACCACTTTCCCTATCATAACTTCATGCCCCTCATCCCTTCTGCTGTAGAACAGCTGCTTGGAATTACTTGCACCTGTTTACAGAAGTGTGTGTGTTGTTTTGACCTGACTGAAGTGGCCAAGTATGTGTCTCTTCCTAATCAGATGGTTGTGCCCGGCAAAGAAGGTGGAGTCCCACAGGTGCCGGCTCAACCTACTCATGGCACTGCAGCTGAGCATGGTCGTATCCCTTCATGCCCCACTGGACAATCCCCTCAGCCGGCACCACCCACATCCTGTAGTAGGTAAGAGTCACTGTGAGGAGATTCAGACTGTTCAATGCTGATTTTTCATTTGTCAGTTCAGCTAAATTTGATTCCATGTGTGTGTGTGTGTGGTAGCGAGGTGAAGACTGTGTCCCCCTCTGATGCTCTAGAGACCACCTTCACCAGGAAAGTTGGAGCTTTTGTCAACAAAGCCACCACTCAGGTTAGAATACATTAATAATATATAATAGCTTAGAAAACAAAAATTACCTTCATGAACATTGAAATAGTTCTTACATTCTCATAAAAATCTACATGAACTACTGAGCAGTTAAGCATACAGTTAGCATTCAAAAGTTTGTGGTCGGTGAGGTTTTTTAATGTTTTTGAAGAGTTTCATATGCTCCCCTAGGTTAAATGTAATCAAAAACAGTCAAAACTGCTGTTACAATTAAAAATAACAGTTTTCTGTTTTAATATGTTGTAAAATTTTATTTATTCTTGTGATAGCAAAACAGAATTTTCAGCAACCATTACTCCAGTCTTCAGTGTCGCATGATGCTTCAGACAACAATCTAATATGCAAGAAAGCTTTCCTCTTATTATTATTATTATTGTCAATGTTGAGCAACATAGCGCACCTTAATTTCTTTCTGAATTGTTTTAATGAATCAAAAGATCAAAATAACATCATTTATTTGAAATAGAAATCTTTTTGTAACATTTTAAATGTTGTAACTGACTTTTGATCAGTTTAATGCATTCTTTATGACTAAAATTGTTAATTTCTTTCTTTTTTTTTTTTTTGTACAGACCCCAAACCTTTGAAGGGTAGTGTATATATTAAGCTTGTATTTGTTAATATTATGAATTCAGGACTTGTTAGTAACGTGTTTAATAAGTGCATAGTAAAAGAAGTATTAATGATAAGTGCAAAAAGTCACTGTCATGTTCATTGGGAGGTGAAAATGCATTCTGATGTGTTGTGTATGTGTAACTCAGGTGACAACAACCAGTTTGGATCTTCCTTTTGCTGCATTCGCTCCAAGAGCCTATGACCTGCAGGAGAACGACCCAATGGTATTGAAAGCAAAAAACACCTATACTTACTATGCATTTCATATTAAGAAAACCCACTGCAACGTCCACTGTCTTCTCATGTCTTTTTTTGTGTGTGTGTGTGATTTAGAGGTGTTTTTCTCTGTTTGCAGGTACACCCTCCTCCATCCCCGGCTCCTTCATCTCCTTTGCAAGGCAGCCTGCACTCAAACACCTCGAGCCACAGCGGGGAGCAGCCACAAGACGACTTTGTCATGGTTGACTTTGTAAGTGCACCAACACATAATAAAAATAAAAAAATATTTTTTTTTAAGTCTGTTTCTGCATGACAGAGCAACACTGTTCTGGTGTTGATCAGAGCTCTAGTGTTGGGCTAAAATCAATACAAATGTTACTAGAAAAGTAAAAACAAGAAAAAACTAGCTCCTAAACAAACACACATGAAAAATCGAACTTAAATCTTCAGAATTGCTTGAAAATTACAGGGAGGTGAGTTTGATTAAGGTAGCCACTAAACTCCAGGACCAGATATTGTTCTAAGTGTATGGTAAAAGCCGAATATGGTCCATATTATGTTTAAAGACCAGTTCTGTGATTGTGTGCCAAACAGAAACCAGCATTCTCTAAGGATGACCTTCTGCCAATGGATCTGGGAACTTTCTATAAAGAGTTTCAAAACCCTCCTCAACTTGCAAGCCTGTCCATCGATGTCAGCGTTCAGTCTATGGCTGAGGATTTGGTGAGAAACAAACAAATTCTTGTCAAAGCACATACTGAACATTTTTGCAGTCTATATGGGACAGGTTGACCTTTAAAGCATGAAAGGCACGAGAACATACATAGAGTAGAGACACAGAGAGTATTCATATACTGTAGGTAAAATTACATTACAGATTTTACCGTTTTTAGCACCAAACCAGGGTTGGTGTTAAAGTCTTAAGGAAAAAGTTTTATTGTGTGGATAATAAAATTAAGAACCATTGAAATAATTGCAAGTATTTTTTGTATGTAGTTCACTTAAAAACAGAATCGGTATACAAATTATACATAGGGTGACTTATTCACATTCATGCCATAGTAACATTGTGATGTGTTCATTATTAGATGTTTGGTACAGTGAACATGTATTTTTGCAGGACTCTCTTCCAGAGAAACTGGCCATTTATGAGAAGAACATTGACGAGTTTGATGCATTTGTGGACACGCTACAATAAAACAGAACAGAGATTGCATCCTTCACAACTTCTTTACTCTTCTTGCTTCCTTCACTGAAGCATCCCTCATTGGATGTCTACATTAACCATGTTTTGTGTCAGTTTTTCCTTGTGCAATGAGCTATGAAGAGAATCATCATTCAAGAAAAAAAGTGAACTGAGGTATAAGGAGAGCAGCATCTGTTACAGGAACAGAGCAACATTAAATTTCCAACCCTTGTATTTATTAAAATAGCAGAACTGTGTAAGTAAAGCTCACTGTAATGAATGTATAAACCTGTACCAGCCTTTATTTTTGTTTTGCCCATCACAACACCACATGCAGTTCACTGACTAGTCACTGAAGCAGATTTCTCTCATTGTACTGCTGGCACCATCTGAATTCTCTTGCAATTTTTATTCAAGGGAAAACGTGAATTATCTGAGAATATGTCCAGTTTTTACTTTATAGGCTTAAACATGAACGACACTACAAGTGAACACTGACAATAGTGGATTGTGAGTCTGTCTGCTTACCTGCTTCCTGTAAATGCATTTTACCATAACTTTTCATCTTTTTTTTTTTTTTTTAAGTTAGGGACAGTTTATCATTACTACTCGTCAGGTCTTTAATCGGTGAGGAATGCTTTTTTTAAAGCTTATGTTGGCAAGTCATTAGGAGCTGGACCTTCTTTTATTATTTTAAGTGTCTTCTTTCTCTCCTCACTTTGTTAATATGGCATGTAAATGTTGTGTAATAAACTGATTTATTTCAGACAGGCCTGTTTTTGTTTCCCCTACATGCTGAACTGGTCTAAAACGTGTCTTCTTTAGGCAAACCTTGGAGTTCACTAGCTAATGAATATTCGTTTGCTCGACGTTCGCCCAATGGATTGGCGAAGGCTTGACTTATGAATATTAATTAGGGTGCGTTACTGGAAGGCTACCAAGCAACGTCAGCATTGGCTATTGTAAAATTCATGAGCGCCGAAATACACGCCTACTTCCATATTTAGATAAATCCAGTGTTGTTTTGACAGCAGTTGTGAAATGTTTTTCTATCGTCCAGCTGTCTGAACACCCACATGTAAACTTGACTGTGTAGCCTTTATTCCTTTTAAAAAGCGGATTTCAAGTGTCTAAAAGAAAGTTTTAGTTTCTTCTTCATTACACATCGGATTACATAACTTAGTGTACACTTGGTAAGTCACGTATGTTTTCTCTATAGTATATGTGATGTGTACGTCGTGCTCACTCGTCTGAATGGTCTCCGCTCTTTGAAATATCAAGAAATAGGCTAGATATCGCAGCATAGTACACTCGTTGTCTGTATATAATAACATGTATATTAACTTAGAAATATTCGAATGATGGCAAACTATTTTTGCTTTTGGTAATGGGG